GAAATGCAGATTCTTAGGCCCCACGCCAGACCTGCTGACTGAGAATCTTAGGGGGTTGGGAGGGCAGCATTCTGTGTTAACAAGCCCTCCGGGTGGGTCTGGTGCTTGCCCGAGTTCAAGACCTGAAGAGTGAGACAGAGGCATTCACAAGAGCTCTCTGAGCTTGAGTTCCCTGCCACCTTCCAGTCCTCAGGTCCTGGCGCATTTCCTTACCCAGGCCTGCTCTGTACACCCGTCACCTCTGAGGTCCGTTCAACTCTCCCCTGTCTCATACCCTCCTCCCCGTGCACAGGGCCAAAGACACACATACCTCTGTCTTTGTTTTACCGTTCTTCTCTGGCTGTCCCTCCATGTCTTTTCTCCTTCTTTCCATTTACCATTCATTTATTCAGGGACTATATACGGAGCATCTTCTGTGTGTCAGGGACTGCCCTATCCTGAGGATGCAGAGATGAACAGAACACTCGGTGCCCTCATGGCCTTACTGTCTGGGGTGGGGAACAGACATTAAGAGACAATCCCACCTTAAATATCAATCTCAAATCCTACCTCTAGAAGTCTCCCCGATCCCCCTAATTGGTAATAATCTCACAGATTCCTTACTGTGGGAGTCACTCAGACTCTGACATTGCAAATCTCCAAACAGGTACGATCGTCAGCTCTTCCTCTGGTACTTCTGAGGAATCTCCTAGTGACATTTGTTACTTTTGATCATTTGCCCAAGCAGATTGTAGCTTTTCAGGGCAGGGTCCTTCCTAATGAAAGCTGCACAGTTGAAAGCCAGATTTGGTATATAGAGAGTTTTATGCAGTATTAAACTTGCTGGAAAACTCCAGAAGAGAAGTTTTCATTTATATTGCTACCCATGAGTTTTGTTCTTTTATTTTCAAAACTTAGTTTGCTGCAGCCATAGTTGCTAAAATTTATGTTAAGAAAATCAGAATGCTAGGAGTGTGTTTCTAACAAGTTCATTGAGGAGGGTGTTTTATCTCGAACCTTATGTTAAGAGCCAGTGAAGAGTGTGTGTGGTTAGTTTTCGGCCCCTTTGGGTGGGCAGAAAAGAGAGGGAGCACCCCCCCTCACTCCTCCCTGTGGGGGTCTCTAACCAGCCCTGAAACTCAGGGTCCCTTTTGGGGCTTTGACTGCAAGATTGGGTAGAAGGCATGGGCTTTGGGCTGCGGTCTTCACAAGCCGAGAGAGGAGACAAAGTGGGGTGTGAAGCCTCGGGGTGGCCTAGAAACCAGACATCACAAGCCTCTCCTTTCAGTGAACTTCAGGCCTGCCGTCCGGAGTCCATGTTCCCCAGCCGAGGGGCCTTTCAGGCTGAAACAGCAGACACCCTCTTCCCTGGTGTTACCTTGAAGCCCTTAAAGAGCTTCGGCTATTGCTTCATCTTCAGACTGCAGCCCGGCGAGGCCTTCTAAAAGGTCACGTGCCTCTCCAACAGCACGCTTAAAGAGCTATTGTTATTTCCCTAGAGTGCCTGAGGGACGAGGCTTCTGAGGAGCCAGCAGGCCCTGGCTGTGGCCAGCCTGAGTGCCAGGCCCAGAGATGCTGTTTGGCTTCTTGCCCTCAGGTTCTTGAGAGCCTTGTCCTTTCTCTGAATTGTGCTCTGCTCCAGGAGGCGGGTGTTACCACAGCCCTGAGAGTGGGAGCTCTTCTCACGACCCTCCCACTTATAGGATTTGGAGGCCTCTTTGGAACATGGTCCTTGAGAGGACTTGACTCTCAACAGTGTTTTAAGCAAACTATGGGAAAACTTTAACTTTTTAAATTTTTAGGCAAAAATGTGGACTAGATTTCATGTTGCGTGTTATTCCTTTCTATAAAAATGTAGTTAGAGTTAGGATTACAAATCAAGACTGTGTGCATTTTGCAGTCTTGCTGGGTGTGTGGAGCCAGTTTTGCCTCATAAAATGAACCAGAGAAATGAGGGCAAACTTGCTTTGAGACATACTCTATCAGGGGTCCTATTTACACATTTGAAAAGCATCCAAGATTCAATTCGTCTTCTATTCCTGCTCACAGGTTTTGCTTACAAGGGCCCTCCTCCTTCCCCTTCCAGACAGCATTACCAAGTCTTATCAGGCTTTTCCCAAATCATTAGGATTATCACACAGCTATGACCAGCTGGATCATTCTAATTGGAAATCAAGTTCTCCCCACATTGACATCTGTCTGAAAAGTGTCTCCACAGATCTCTTGCAGCTATGGGAATTCTGCTAAATGCCTAGTAAATATTTCAGTTCTGTAGATTCAGTGATTATTTCTAGAGAAATGTGAGTTATTGACAAAGTCCTGTTGTTTATTCTGGCAACAAGTCTTTAAAAGACAGTTCTATATCGATGACTAAAAGAAAAAGTCTCACCCAAATGTTACTTCTCCTCCAGAAAACCAATAAAAATTCAAAGTGGTGATGAGCTTACGAATTTCCTTTTAGTTGTCTATTTGGTTTACATTTTGGGACAGTGCTTCTCAAACCTTCTGTGATGAAGGACCATTTTGTTTGTTTTTTTCCTCCTTCATAGACTAATACTTTAGTGAAACACAAAAATAATTACTAGAAAATGAAGTAAAAGGACAAATGTAAAAATAGGAGCCTCATTTTTAAAATTAGATTTACAGACATACAGTTACTCTATAAATTTGCTATGAAAGTTTCTAGTTAATACAGTATCTCTACTTACCTCATCACGGACCAGTAACAGTTCACAGACTGGCTCCATCTATAGACCACACTTTGAGAAACACTGTTGTAGAGTGTGTGTGTATGCATTTGTGTATTCTCACACGCACATTTAAATGTATTGGATATGATCACATTATTACATAGAACGCAGATCATATAACAGCTTTATATGAGAATTAAGTGTATTTAGTGAGCTCTTTGGCAAAAGTGAAATTTTTCTGGAAGCAAGTATTTAAATGCTTAAATTGTAAGCAAATACAAATAGTATAATTGTGAATACAATTCTCTGTTTCAAAGCACAGTTGTCCAGTAACACTTCTAATCCATAAAGTAGGAAGTATTTTGTAATGTGAAATGAAATCACCTCCTCTCTGATTCACACAAGTTTACACGGGCACAGACACTTGAGATAGGAAATGTTCTGTGCAAAGTATGAGCACCGAGCCTTAGGAAATGTTTCTTTCATCTGAAGTATTCGATAAGCAAGTTGTTCTTATCAGCCTTCCTTGCCTCAGAGAACAGTTAATTATGGGACTGGTCTTTGGTCCTAGTGATTGACAGCCATTTTCTTAATGTTTACAAAATGAGAGAAAGTGTTTCACACAAGTAATTCCACATTCTCTATGAGCATTGACAAATTCTCAAGCTGAGTCTGATGTTGATGGCTTGCAGCTGTCTTCTTTCTCTCCTGGAGACTGAGGCACAGGAAGGCAGTCACCCAAGCGGCACTTGTGTGCCAGGCTCTGTGACCACCTGCCTGTCTGTGCCCGTTGAGGGGCAGCTTGGCCTTCTTTAACAAAGTGTTGGAAGGAAGTTCTGTGACGTTTATTATAAGTTAGCCTTATTCCTTCAAAATGATACCAAGGTGTGGGAGAAGATATTCAGCCTCTTGAAGACCAGGCTTTATTCATCTGCCAGACTCCCCACTTTCTGGCCGAGTGCCCAAGACAGCGTAGATGCGGAATGAGTTAGTAAAGGATTGAATGAGGCGCCATCAAAATCAGCTGAAACAATTCAGTAAAAGACAAGTCGCTTTTAGAAGAAAAGTTGGATGACTGCAAAGCACTCACTTGTATGAAGATACGAGAATGAGTGAGGGGCACTGTGGAGAGGATTAACACGCGTCTCTGGGTAAGTCACAGAGAGGAGGTGAGGGAGCAAGCAGGAGCTTGGCTTAATTTGAACCACATCTCTTGATCTGGACGACATAAGGATAGCTTTCCTGATTAAATGGCTAGAAAGTGAGGTCTTTGAGGCAAAAGGCAATGGACTTGAGATTGTTGCGTTTAGTTGGTAGAAGTTCTGAGAGGAAGGACCACTTTCCAGAAGGTGCAGCCAGCTGAGGGTGTCTTCACTAAGGGCAGAGCAAGCAAGGAGGCAGCCTAGGCTGTGAGCCTCAGGTGAGGTCGGGCAGGAGTTAAAATGCAACCCATTCCCAAATGCTCAAGGTCTGAGGTCTGAGGTCGTTGTTTTTTTGAAATACATATGTATTTCTGGAATCACAGTAGGTCTTTTGTTATGAAATGTCTCAGGTACCCAAACAGCAATGCCTATAATCAGAGCAAATTACTTTTACATTAGTCCAGTTGCATTCAGTCATAACTGCATGCAATGAAATTGAGCCATGGAAAAACTTGGGCTGGGAAATCCACATTCCTCCACTTGATTCTAGACTGAAAGTGGTGGCAGCTCCATCACTGTGGTCATTTAACACAGGCCAAGTGCTTCACCACGTGTCACCAAACAGGCGGAAAGGCTCTCTGCATAATGAGAAAGGAAAGGGCATTTTGAAAGCACACACAGTTCTACCAAAATTGTCCATGTTCCTCCTTCTCCAGCTTGGTTCTTTTAATCGTTCAAGATGTGTTCAAGCTGTAATCTATGGCACCTTTATCTGTTTAGGTCATAGCATTGTAAGTGTTTTCTTGGGCTTTAAAAATAAATCAGTTTGGGGGAGGGAAATTGAACCTGCATAGTAATGTCAGGCATGCGAAGGAAAGCATGTGCAGGAGCTGAGAAAGTCAAAATCGCGGTTTCCATGGTAACATGTACCTTGTCTGTGTCGTACACATTTCTCAAGAAATATATTCACCAGACCACCTAGTGATAAAAATTGCTCCACCGGCATACAAAGGTAGATTTCTCAGTTTTCTCTTATTCTAAAAAGTCTTCCCCCAATTAATCAATCTGTTCTAACTAACCCCGGATGAGGAACTGAAGTCCAGGTCCCGGCCTCTGAATCAGCGTCTTTTTTATGGCAGGAGTTAGTTTTCGGGTGATTAATTCCATTTCCTTCCTTTCTCCTTTGCAGATATATGTTGGGTAAAGGAGGAAAACGGAAGTTTGACGAGCATGAAGATGGGCTGGAAGGCAAAATCGTGTCTCCCTCCGACGGTCCATCCAAGGTGTCTTACACCTTACAGCGCCAGACTATCTTCAACATTTCCCTTATGAAACTCTACAACCACAGGCCCCTCACAGAGCCCAGCTTGCAAAAGACCGTGCTCATCAACAACATGTTGAGGCGCATCCAGGACGAGCTCAAACAGGAAGGCAGCCTGAGGCCTGTGTTCACTGCCTCCTCCCAGCCGGCCGACTCGCTGAGCGACAGCTACCGAGAGGCCCCGCCCGCCCTCGGCCACCCCGCATCCCCACCCGCACACCCCTGCGACCTCGGAAGCACTACGCCCCTGGAGGCCTGCCTCACCCCGGCCTCGCTGCTCGAGGACGATGACACTTTTTGCACTTCCCCGGCCGTGCCGCCCGCGGCTCCCACCAGACTGTCCCCTCCAGCCCTCCTGCCGGAGAAGGACAGCTTCTCCTCGGCCTTGGATGAGATCGAGGAGCTCTGTCCCACATCTACCTCCACAGAGGCCGCCACCGTGGCAGCGACTGACAGCCCGAAGGGGGGTTCCAGCGAGTCCAGCCTCCAGAAACCCGAGGGGCTCCAGGAGGGCCGGCCCGAGGACTCGAAACTGATGGACTCACTGCCTGGGAACTTTGAGATCACAACGTCCACGGGGTTCCTGACAGACTTGACCCTGGACGACATCCTGTTTGCCGACATCGACACGTCGATGTATGATTTTGACCCCTGCACGTCCACGTCGGGGACAGCCTCAAAAATGGCCCCAGTGTCAGCCGACGACCTCCTCAAGACTCTGGCTCCTTACAGCAGTCAGCCCGTTGCCCCGAGTCAGCCTTTCAAAATGGACCTCACAGAGCTGGACCACATCATGGAGGTGCTCGTCGGATCCTAAGACCTGGGGACCCTGTGACTCTGCCCACCCAGACCCCGCGAGTGTCCCGCACCCTGACAGCTCTCCGCACTGTGCATGCACCCTTGCTTGCCTTTTTCAGAGAAAACGAACGTTTTACAAAAGGATCACACTAGTTTTTGCTTTGAGCAGAGTTGGAGTGCCTTCATCCCAGTCCAACCACTTTTAACATGCTTTTTTGAGTGGTTCCTCAGAGACCTACTACCCTGGAATAGGAGAGAATACATTTGAAGACAATGTTGCTATGTTGAATGACAAAAAATAAACAGTTCAAGTGAAGCACAAGGAATAAGTTGGAAAAGCTGTAAATTGCATGTGCATATTTGTCTATTTTTTCTATAAGTTTTATTGCAAGAGGTAAAAAAAGAAAAAATATATATATATTATTTAGATAATCTCAGTACCTTTTCTGGCATTTTCGCCCTGTATAGGTTGACTTGGCAATTCAGCCTTTTTAGAGGCATTAACTACTCCTCATAAGTGTTGCATTTACATGGCTGTTTAGAAACTGCTGCCCAAATTTATTTTATATTTTTGTACAGATTCTGCAGTTTATGATATTGTTTTTCTAAAAACAAATGCTGTTTATACATATGAGATAGCTATTTTGATAGGATTTGCTCACCTAGTTCCTGCAAACTTCAGATGTACAAGTTGCACTTGTACTTTTATAGAGTTGTAATGTTTTATATGTGTTTGGTGCAAAGAGAAAATTGGATCAAATCAGTCCGCAGTTGATGTCCCAAATGCAAACACGCATACAAACACACACACACACACACACACACACACACACAGCGCTTTAAGAAAGGGCCGGGCGATATCACACCCAAATTTCATGAGCACTGACCCCCTGGCATGAACACCCGCCAGCACTGTGACTTCCAAAGCCAGAGCCGTGTTTGCTCATCAAACTTGCATTCAGCAGTTGGCGGGAGGTGGCTGTCGAGCTCGCGGGTGTAAGTGATGGTTCTCTTTAGCGCCCTCTTTTGAGGGGAAGGCTACCGAATACTCTATTTATGCCAGTTTGCGCTTTTAATTGTTTTTATTTTTTTAAATGAAAACCCAAATCTTTCCTTTTTTGGCGTAATTTTTATGATGACCTGAAATTTTACATGTGAACAAACTTTTATGAAAAGCAACCAACCTCTTCACGGAAGTAAACCTTATTGCAATGCTTAAGGCTGGTAAAGAAGAAAATCTCCCCCAGAAGGCTTCCATCATGTTGCTCAGTTGCCTTTTCCAGCTTCCCTAGAGCTTTCCTTCCCTCTGTTGCTAAGTGCTGAAAATGGCATCTTCAGGATCACCACAGTGAGCTCGCTCACCTCGGCCTAGCCTGGGATGCACTCTTGTAACATCCGTGGCTCTTGAACCTGGGGTCGGTCCTGTTATGTCATGGCTTCCAATCTGGTTACTTTCTTGAATCAACTGCTTTAACTACACTTTGCAAGGCTGTTTTACCCAAATACACAGACAGGACTTTCTATGCATGTTTCTCCTCCTCCCTCTTTGCGCCGCGCCCCCACCGCCCCCCCCCAGGACACTTGAGAAGTAGCTTTTTATTCCTAGTGGTGTACATTTAATTTTAAAACGTTTGCAATGTATCATGCCTGTTGCTGAAATTGTTTATGGCCTTTTCGTTTCATTTTTTTTCTTTTTTCCAATGGTACTTTAGCTGGTTACAACCTATATTATTGAAATGCAGATGGCTTCTTTAGGAATAACTTTTATATTTATTTAAGAATTTTTAAATTATGGGATTTGTGTTGTTGTTGTCTTTGTTGTTGGTCATTTGTCAATATTCAGTCACCAATTCTGCTCACTTCTTGCCATGGATAAAATTGAGTCTTTCTGGCCAATTAAAAAAGACAGCTTTATAAAATGGCACTTTAAACAAGCCATAGATAGTTTTATTTTTATAATGCACATGGCGAAGCAAATACATTTGTGATGAAGGAACTGCTCATCTAAGCAAAAGATTCATGTATGATATGATTAAATGTTGCTACATTCTAATTTACTTTTTTCCCCCCACTTGAATGTGTCTTTAAAGGCTGATTATCAACTCTAGAACAGTGAGAGAGGGATCAAATTGCGCTTGTTCTCCTACAAGCAACCTCCATCCGGATGCCTCTCACTGCTGCAGGTGTGTTGTTTCCTTTGATAGGACCAGGGACCAGATAGTGAAGGTGAGGGTTGTTGTAGATGCTTCCGGCATCCCTGTGCCTGTCCGTTTTCAGAGCTTCCTTTTCCTGTAGAGAACAAGTCAGTCCAGACACCATGCTTTTGATAACTGGAGGACGTAGCAAACTCACCCCATGCTGCACACATACACGTACTTATACACACACAATAGTGCTGATTATTCCAAATAATAACAGGGTAAGGCGGTTGATTTGCCATTGTTAAAAACTGATTTACAGTAACTTAGAACAACTGTACTCTGGTTGGATTAGCAAATCGTGTGTTTAAACAAATCCCATATGTTGGGCAACAGTTCAAATAAGCAAGCAAAGTGTTGCCCAGACGTAGTTCTCTGACTCTCCCGTATGCGTAAGGCTGGGCTTCAGAATCAAAACAAAACCCCCAACGACAGCAGGCAGATGCTTTTTAACTCTGGACACCCTTGCCATAAATTGTTGATATTCAAGGGCTAATGAGGAAGATGGGGGAAATTAGTGGCCCATTTTAAAAAGAACAAAACCATCAAGTGTTCAAGTTATCTTTGTGTCTTATTTTTACAAAGTGATGTCCCAACAGGGAAGACCATAAGCCTGTGTGTATCTCCGAGTCCCCGTCTGAGTGTGGGACATGCTTCCAGATGCTGCCTGGCAGCAGTGCCTTCCCCATCCTAGAGGATACCACGCAGCATTCAGAGTCGGGCAGGCGGTTTGAGGTGCCTTCATGAGAAAGACGAGCTGGGTGGGGCTGGGAGAGGACAATTATTGACAGTGATGTGCAATGAAGTGACAAGATGAGAGCAGAATAATAAGAGCTTTGAATTTGAAGTGATTTTTTTTCATAAGTTATTTATTCCTTTTTTCTGTGTAAATATATTTATTTTACTATGGAGCTCTAACAACATCTGGATCGTAACATGTGCAGAATGTATGGTAGGAATGTATTCTCTTGTAGGAATGTCAATCTGTATTAAAAGGGGGTCCGAGCCAGACCCCCGGGTCTTCTCATTGTATGCATAGTCCACATTCACTTTTACTCTCTTCTCTAATATGGGTCTATTTGAAATATGCAAAAGGTATGGATGAGGAATGTTTTAATACCTCCAAATTTTTAAGAAAATCAAGCATCAAAGGGTTGATATTTTTAAACTTTTTTTAGTAGCACTTTCTCTTTATGACAGAAGGGGCAACCACACTGACATCCTCGTTCACACCAAAGGCTGAGAACGAGCCACAGCCTCTGCTCCACCTCGAGTGTCTTTATCAATTAAGCTTTTGATTGCCGTAGCCCTGTGGAGTGTCCCAACTGCCCTGAGGTCAATCAAGGAAAATTTCTTGAATAAATAAGCTCCAAAGAGCCAAAGTATCAACTTACGGATCGTTTTTAAAGCTTAAATTTATTAGCCACCTTTGTGGTAAACAATGAATTATGAATACCGCAGGGCAGCCTTCTTAAATGACAGACGTGAAAAAAAAAAATAAGGCTCTACTTTGTGCAGCTATTGTTATTCTCCATATGAATTGTCTTAATTTCAATACCGTGCTGTTACAAATTGGACCTTTATACATTTTCTGAAAATCTTGAAAAGAGCATATTTAACCTGTGCTGGCTGTAAATGGTTAACTTCCCGTTACCTCCCGTCAGCAGCGAGGTGTGTGCATCCTGCTTGTGTACAGTTGTTTTCAGCGCTTGTAAGAATGAGTCTAAAGGGTTCTGGAAAATTAGCCAGGATCAAATGCTATTGCAGACAAAGCCAGTAAAAATTGTGGACGTCTTTTGGGGATAACAAGTTTGGAAGAGAAGTGCAGTCCATACAAGCAAACAACCAAGATTTTGGAAAAGATGTACATAGTGACATGTTTGGTGCATGGTTTTTGAGGAGGGCTTCTGTCAAAAAAGGAGGTGTAACCTTTCCCCCACAGACCTGAGAGCTGTGCCTTTTCTATGCAATATTACAGACATTACATCGGAACCCAGATGGCTGTATTCACATGTAGGTTTGGGCTGTAATCTAAACAATTGGACAGATTAAATGTACATGGAAATGAGCAGTCTTACTTTTGTAGTTTTATATTATACAATAAACAGTTAAAAGACGAGAGAGGCGTGTGCAGTTTTCTTCTGACCGGAGCACGACCAGTTCAGATGTCACCATCTGCTCGTGTTAAGGAACAGTCCCCCTCGCAGCCTTTGCTGGAGTTGGTGCCTTTGACCTCACGCCTCTTGGTCTCAGGAGCACCTTTCTCTCCTGGTTCCCCCCGCCTCTTGGGTCCGTCTCCTCCTTGTTCTCACTTTTCTCCCCCAACTCTCTCGAAACGTTTTTTTCGGGGGTTTGGTCGGCGACCAGCTCTTTGCCGAGGCTCTGCTCCTACAGCTCGCTGTGTCGAGGGATCTAATCTACCCAGGACTCTGAAAATTCTTTCCAGCTCCTGCCTCTCTCCTGAGCTCTGGGCTTAAGCATCTACCAAGCTTTGCCATCTCACACTGAGCGCGTCTAAAACAGCCTTGTTTCCCCACGGGGCTGATCCTTCCCCTTTGGGTCCCTCTTCGGCCTCATCACCCTCCTCCCAGGTGTGGTTCTGCTGCTGCCACCCAGGCTGTCCTCCAGTCCACTCGAGAGTTCTCCAAGCCACTCTGTTCCCGGATGTTCACTGCTCCCCCACCACTTCCTTTCTGTCCCTACCACAGCTTCCCCAGCTCAGGTCCACTTCCTTTGCTGCCTCCGATTACTGCACCTGCTTCCTAACTCCTCTAACTGCCACGGTTGTGTCTCTAACATCCTTGGTGTCAGAGTTGACATTCAAAGCACCAGTGGTGCACGCATTTGTTGCACATCTTCCAGCAGCCCCCTCTGATTTATACAATCTGGCCCTCCACCATCTTCCAGAGGTGAATGGAGGAGATCCTTTGCAACCTGCTTGGCAGCTGGCCCATCTTTGATGGAGTCGTGGGATCCAGCCTTGCCTGGTCCAGGCAGTTCTGGGCCACCAATACCAGCTGATGAGGGAATGGGGCTGGGTGTGAGAGACCTGGGAAATGAGGGTTCCAATCAATCAGCAATGGAACATGAGGGAGGAGTATTGGGGAGGTGTCACAGGTTAAACTGTGTCCACCAAAAAAGGTATGTTGAAGTCCTAAACAACTGTTCCTCAGAATGTGACCTTCGTTTGGAAATAAGGTCTTGACGGAGATAAGTTAAAATGAGATTATTAGGGTGGGCCCTAGTCCAATATGACTAGTGTCCTTATAAAAAGGGGAGATTTCAACACAGACAAGCGCACAGGGAGAACACCATGTGAAGATGAAGGCAGAGATCAGGGTAATATGTCTACAAGCCAAGAACACCTAAGATTGCCAGGAAATCACTAGAAGTGAGGGTGAGGGAGAGGCATGGAAAAGATTCTTCCTCACAGCCCTCAGAAGGAACCAACCCTGCTGACACCTCGATCTCTGACTTCTACTCTCCAAAACAATAAATTTCTGCGTTTAAGCCACTCTGTTGTTAAGTTTGTGGTACTTTGTTACGGCAGCCCTAGCAAGCTAACGGGAGAAGGACAGGACGCGCTCTTTCCAGATGTCCCGGTGGAGAGACTCACAAGGCAGCTAGAAATAAGAGTGTTGCTCAGTAGAGTGGTTTGTCTCTAGAATTATGAGCATCTGCTGTTAATTAGAGATAAAACTTTGGCAAATCGTTCAATCTCTCTGTGTTTGTGAGGACAGGATAAAGTCATAGCTCCTAAATCTCTTGGGAAATGTTGACAGTGCAACAAAAATGTGAGTTACGGACATCTGTCCTCTCATGCCTACCACTGTGCCCAGCACGTAGTAGGCAGCAAAACATTTGCTGAATTAAAAGAGGAAAACTCCCTGGAGTTCACCCTTCTCTTGGAATGAGGGAAGCCAGGACTCCTTGTCGGGTCCCAGGCCCACTCCCATCCTGGCCCTCTGGACGCCCGCATCCCCAGCACACTGCACACCCTTGCGTGTGCCCCCACCTTTGCCTGTAGAAGTTCTACCCCTCACTCCAAGGCCGAGCTCAAGTGCTTGTCCATGAAGCCTTCCCCGCAGTCAGAAACAGCCTCTCCTTCTGGTGGGCTCTGTGCCTCTGCAAACGCTCTTAGCAAGTCCCACTACATCTCAGGTTAGCCAGGCACCGTTGTTTCCTCCGCTTCCCTCTGCTGTTCTGAGGAGCAGCAATCCTGCGATGCTCACCTTTGCCAGAGGTCAGCAAACGACGGCCCTTAGGCCAAATCCTGCCCACTGCCTGTTTTTGTCAGTAAAGTTTTATTGGAACACGGCCATGTTCGTTTACTTGTGTGTCTATGGCTACTGTCCTGCTACAATGGCACAGAGACCATATGGCCCTCAAAGTCTAAAATATTTGCTCTTTGGCACTTAATAGAAAAACGTGGCCAAACCCTAGTCTTTGCAAACCACACAATGCTTAGGACAGCGTCCGTCCATAGCTGGGCCAGGCCACGCTCCCTGGGCTCAGGGGTTTGCACAGACCGGGACGTACACCCCAGGAAAGCGGATCAGTACAGGGGCAGGGGCAGGGGTCCCAAGGGCACAGAGTGCTGGAGGTGGGGGTGCGAGGGCGAAAAGGCAGAGCAGTCAGGAAAGTCACACGAAAGTGGACATCTTCAGAGAGCTTAAGACCTGTGAGGAGCCTTAGACGTGGATCTTCTGGTCAAAGGGCCCCATCTTACAGATGTCAAAGCTGAGACAGAGAGAGGGGAAGTGATTGCTGTCTAAGGCAAGACACAGTTTACAGCATCGGGGTGCAGAGTTTGGCTCTGCAACCAGCCCACCTGGGTTTGAATCCTGGCTCCTCATTTGTAGCCTATGACTTGGGGCAAGTTCCCGAACCTCTCTGTCCTCAGATTCCTCATCCGTAAGATGAGAGTAATAACTGAGCTCATCTCACACAGTGGTGGGGATTAAATGAGTCCATACACGTAAAGCACTTAGAACAGCTCTAGGACATTAAAAAAATAAGTCCACAAATGTTAGCCATAGCTAACATGAGAGACAAGGCTAAAATCCAGGTCTCTTCTCAGGGTGGTGTTCTAGGTTGGGCCATAAAGCAAAGCTGGGGGATCGTCACGCTAAAGACGCGTTTTGTGGGGGCAGCGCCATTTCCTAACACCGTGCTTGTCATCATGGTGGTCAGCTTTTTGTTTATGGAGGACACTGTGTTCCAAGCTTGTGTGGCAGTCTGGGGTCCCAGAGTGCCTATTGCCTCTTCCATCTCTGCTTTTAAGGTCCTTCTGCTCCTCTTGGAAAGGAATCTTTGACTGAAGCAGGAGTAATAGTCCCCAGGGTTACCACTTAACTGAGCACTCACACGTGCCAGACACCGCTAAGTGCTGGCGTGCATGATCTCACGGACTCTTCACCCCGGCCCTTCGAGGTTTATTTTACCACCCCCACTTTACAGAGGAGGGAGTCCAGGCTCAGAGAGGTTAAGCAACTTTCCGAAGGTCACACAGCTGGCAAGAGGCAGAGCTGGGATTGCAGGTGGGGCCTCTCTGACTCTTATAACCCCTTCAGCACACTCTCTCGTCGCCTGCCCGTCATTGCTCCTGGAGTCCTGGTGTCCACAGGCAGACTAACGCCTGCAGGCTGAACAGGGTGAGGGAGTCAGGAGATAGCATCCCAATCCCAATCCCTCTTTCACTTGCCTGACCTTGGACAGCCCTTCACCTCTCCTCTTCTTCTAGGGGGGTGGAGCCCTCCTGGCACACCAGGGCATTACCCTGAGGGACAAGAGGAGGAAGATGGCCCAGTGGGGCCAGCGGTGAACCAGGAGTGGGGACTGCTCTACAGAGCTGAGTGCCCCCCAGGTTCTCTCATCCTGGCTCTGTGTGACCTTGGGCCTGTCACATCCCCTCTCAAGGACTCAGTTGGCTCAGTGGCAAAGGGAAGAGGCAGGACTACATACATGCCACAGGCTTCAGGCCCTGGCTCTCCTGGCTGCAAGTTAGAATCCTGGGGGTTCCGCCGGGCGTCTCTGGCGGGAGGCCCAGGCCTCAGGGCTTTTACAGAAGCTCTCGGATGGGAGGAGTGCCGGGGCACTACGGTCTCCGGTGCCAGCCTTCAGGGCCCTGGGATGGCCGGCCCTGTGCTGCCAGGGAGGCACACACGCTGGCAGTGTCCCCGGAGCTGGCAGCCCCTCGCCGGCGGCCTCCCTCCCTGCTCCCCTCCCCGGGCAGGGCCGCCAGGCTGCCAGCTGCCAGCGAGGCCTATTGTTCAGCAGTGACAAGAAATGGCTGCGGGAGTGCAGGCCCGGGAAAGGCTGGAGACGGGCGGGGGCGGGGTGGGCGAGCGGGGCCGTGTCTCCCACACGGGCTCCGCAGGCACACATGCCAGCAGACTTCTTTCTCCCGTGTCTTCTCGGGAGGAGAGTCTCAGCGGACGTGCGTGTCACTGTTGCCGTGTGTTCGTGAGCGGAGTCAGGCCACCTCTAGCAAAGGATTTATGGTCACTTATCTCCTGGCTGAGTGCCTGAGAACAGGGCCAGGTGGCTGGTGCTTCTGAAATGGTGTTGTTCAGAGTCCACTCGGTCCACACACTCGTGGGGAAGGCCGCTTCCCGGGCCCGGAGAGGGTCCGGTGATGGCGAGAAGCATCCTCGACTCTCCTCTCCGTGCAGCTTCACGGTGCAGGAAGCCTTTCACATACCTTCTCTTTGTCTGAGTCTCCTGATGACTGGGGGGGAGGGGAGCAACGGGGGGAGGCTGAGCAGGCATGGAGAAACTGGGGTACACAGAGAGGCCCAAGGCTGCCAGGTGCAGGAGCCGGGCGAGGATGCAGTCCGAGCTCTGGACTCCTCCTGTCTTACCTTGTGCTGCTTCTGAGCTTAGAGAAACTGGCCAGAAACTTAGTTACGAAAAAATAAGGGTGAGCGGTGAGCTTTGGAGCCAGAAGTTGCATATCCTCTTGGATCTTTGTAACAGACTTAGGGAGAATGGAAGCCATTCGGAGCTTCCGTTCTGCCCTTTCTGTCCCTGAAAGCCTCCCTCCCCCTGGCCCAAACCTGAGGGGCTGAGCTCGGGGGGAGCCAGTGCCCTTCCCTGGTTCCAGGTCGTTAGGCC